GGGCAAGAGGCACTACCAGTGCAAGTTTATGTTCAGCAGAATTGAAGAAACAGTAAAGCATTCAAAGTAAGACAAAGCAGTTGAAGAAAGGGACGTCAGATTAATAATTCATGCTCAGAAATTGAGCTACAAGTTCAAATAAATTAAAAACTATATCGGGAGCCGCCCACAAGCGGAAAATAACAGCTGCCGAAATACGTACAGAAGCAAAAAATAAACTGTTTGTACGACAAGGCAAGCTGAAGCAAAAAACAAACAAGGCAAAAATTCAGAAAGCGGCAAGTCTAAAGTTGAGCGCATGATGAACCGCAAGATTCTGAGGACGACTGCCCGAGTTCCTATGCTTCAGCCCGAGGATCAGACTGATTAGCATTGTGGGGCCCCATGGTGGCCTCAGCCCCAGCAGCAGAAGAAGCAGGCTTTGCACTCTGCCGAGCCTCCCTTTCCCTCTGTTCAGCCTCCAACTCCTTTCTCTCAGCTTCTTCTACGGCTTCCTCAGCCTGAAGGATTTCAGCTTCGATTGGAGTTGCATATTTCATATGAGGGTCTTCGGGATCCTGGACCCATTCAGCACATTTGGACCAGTCCAACTTCGGCTCAGCATGTAGGCAGAATCTTCGGCACACTCTGAACCCGTTTCTGAAACCCATTTCATACTCTTCTTGGGTATAGATACGGACTTTGAGTAGAGCCTCAGCATCAGCCAACTTCTTCTTTGTCTCCTCCAAGTCTTCCTTGGATTTCTTCAGCTCATCGGCGAGCTTGGAGGAGGAACCTTTCAGCTCATTCAGCTCCCGCTGAACTTGGGAAGCCTCTGTCTGAGCCTGGGTCAGTTCTTCTTTTATGGCCATCAGCTGATCCTCAACTTCTTGGAGCTTAGCTCTCTGAGCTACAGCAGCATTAGCAGCCTCTGAGAGTTGGACATTCCGGGCTTGGAGCATCTCTTCAGCGGCCATTCTACTGGCTTCAAGAGCTTCCAGCTTTTGCTGCACTTCAGCTTGTGCAGCAGCTCCTTCCTGGATTCGGCTCCCAATGGTAGCCTTGAACTTGGAGATGTCCACTCCCATGTGCTCTTGAAGGAATTTTTCCCCTTCCATCAGTGGGGGAAAAACTTCCTTCTCCATAGCATCGCAGAAGGTTTTAAGGGCTTCAGCAGCTCTTTTTTCATATTCTTCACCCTTCTGCTGCTTCTCTTCAGCTGCTGCTTGCTTCAGCTTAGCAAGCTTTAGCTCCTCCTTAGCTACCTTCTTGTCATACTCGGCAGCATCTACCCTATCTTGTAGGGTATCTATCAGCTCTACAGTGAGAGTCTGATTGTGCACGAACTGGAAACAGGAGCACAAGTCAACAGAAAAAAAAAATAATAATAATAACTGAAACTGAATTGAAGAGCTGAATTGAAAAAGAGATAAAGGCAAGGAGAATAACCTGCATCATCAGCAGTTGGTTAGACCTGGCTGGGTCTGGAACTGATCTGCTGGATTCGCCCATCCCAGCAGTGGCCTTTAGCGACCAGATTATTGCCCTATCTACTTCGGACATGCCAGCAAAATCGTCGAAGTAGGCTGCAGCACCTTCTCGGTTCTGACCCCATATGAGGTCCCAGATGTGATCTGGGATTGGAATTCGGGGGCCGAGAAACCCATTTCCCCATACTGCAGCGTCTGGAAGGAAGGGAAGGATGACGATGGAGCTTCTTTAATCTTGGATGGCTCGGCATCCCCCTTCTTCTCAGAAGAGTCAATTATTATGACTTCTTCTTCTTCAGGTGTGAGGACGAAGGCCTCAACCTCTCTTGCAATGTCTGTCGTGAAACCCTCAGCACTGGGCATCATAGCATCCTCATTTCTGTGCTCAGCAACACTCTCTTGAACTTCCTCTTGGACCCCTCCCTTAGGTTCGGGAGTTTTCTGATCCACCTCCATCTCGGGAGGTGGCGGAGGGGTCTTTGGAGGTGATTGAGGTGGCGGCCGGGGAACCCTCGGTGATCCATTGCCTTCCTCGGGTTCCCTTATCTCGACGCCGACTGTCATCGGCCTCCGCTGAAAGTCATGCGGGCCGATGATGGCCATTCTTCGTCGCCTTTTCTGAAGCGGCTGCTCGTCCATGTCTGAGTCTGAAGACTCTTCTTGTGCCTGGTCTTCGGGACGAACAGGGGCTTTCCCTTCTCTATGTCTATTACTCTCTTCGGACTGTAAAAGACAGGGGGGAGGAAGAATGTGAGTAAAAAAAAAAACACAGACAAAACTAAGTCTAAAAGCTCACCGAGGTCTTCAGCAAAGCCTCGTCTTCTTCAGCTGCCCTAGCTGCAGCTTCTTCTTCAGCAGCCCTGGAGGACCCTTCTCCTCCTTCACAAGCTTCAATAACCCGTGCAACCTCTTCGGCCGTACGGGCAGCTTCAGCTTCTTCGTCTAGCAACTGAAACCAGGGATCTCTCTTCTTCCACCAAGGCTTCTGCCTCTGATACAGAGCAACAGCCTCAATTTGGAAATGGGAAGAGTCTAGATGAACTTCCCTATGCCTCGGTTCAGTGATAGAGGGGGCCCGATCAGTTACAACTCGTTCTCGGTTGACGCCAAGACGAGCGTAGTTAATGCCGACGTTGGTCTCGTCCCGCTCTGAAAAAGAAGAGGGAAAAGGTCAGTTCAGTTAGGTTGACACAGCATAAAAGAGCGAAGTGAAAACGGAGGAAAAGAGATAATTAAAAGGCCTCGGCCCCAGCCGAAGAAGCTTACCATCCCTAAACTTTCGGCTGAGGCCGACAGCTGCTAACATGTTCTCTTGGAAGACATAATACGTATCGGGGAGCCAAGTCTCCGGGATATGCTGCATTCGACCGCTGCCCCCCCGGTTCGGCAGCTTGCCGAAGATGTTCTGTTGATTAAGGTTCGGATCTGGGCCGTTATCTTCGGGGGGACCTAAACTTCCCATGTCGGGATCAGGCTCAGCAAGATACCTGGGAGCGCTGAAGACGCAAGGGTGGCCCGGATCCGTGGGCGCCCTAACCCAAATCCATTGACCTCTCCAGTCCTTGTCTGAAGAGTCGTTCGGCCACATGGTTAGGTACTGGGGCCGAGACTCAATCCGGTACCACCCAGAACCGTGACTTCCGTGCCCACTTTGAATATTTGGCACTAGCCGATGGAGCTTTTTGAAGCAGTGCAGGTTCGGCACATACCTGAAGAACTTGAAGACCCATAAGTATGTCATCACCCTTCGGATGCTAATGGGAGTTAGCTGACATAGGGAAATATTATAATGGATCAGCAAGTCTCGGACGAATACGTCCAAAGGGAACCTCAGCCCATACTGAAGTTGTCTTGTGTACACCCCCACATACCCCGGGGGTGGACGATGGATTCTATCGGATGCCACGGGCATTCGGCACCAATACCCATCAGCTTCAAGGATGTCGTAATGCAACTCAATCTGTTCGACAAACCGATATTGTTCAGCATTCTCCACCCACCATGAGTAGGGGCGGTTCTTTATCATGGCCGAAGCTACTTCAGCATCCTCCTACTCCCAAAACCCAGGAAGGATGTCCCAAAGGATAGCGGGAACTTCATCGTCCCGCCCAGAAGCGCTCGACCCCTCCGTTCTCTGAGGAGGAGCCGAAGAAATGGGAGTCGCCCTAATCCCTTCAGCAGGGTCAGGCTCTGCTCTCTGTCCATTCCAGGTCCCAATCCTGTTCCTGGGATTGGGAATTGGCCTTGCTCTTCTTGGAGCACGGGCTCTACCTCTAACTCCTCTCACCATGGATGAATTTCGAAGAAAAAAGTCGAAAAAAGGGGAAGGAGTTCAAATTCGAAGAAAAATAAATTAAAATCAAAGGAATTTACCTTAATCTGAAGCGAAAGTTGCCGATTTACGAATTGGTAGTGATGAGTCTCAGTTTCTAAGCTCAATGCTCGAGGAATTTGCGAAGTTTTGACGCGGGTTCTTGGGACTTTCTTGAGAATTCTGGGTTTGTGTTGGTGAATAAGTGAGGAGAGATGACGCGCCTCTAATTATATCTCCAGAAATGGGAATTCTGGGAGTCCGCGTTTCAATTTCTCTTAAACACCCCACTAAGTAACCGTTAAACACACGACCTTGCGATTAAACCGCCCATTATCCGTCCAACTTCCACAATTATTCGCCTTAACTGTTGTTATCTCATTAATTACGGTTTAAATTCAAATTTCTTGGATTAATTAAATCATTCACTTCCCTCCTTTTCTGATTAATCAAACCCGACCCGTCATCCTGCCAAATCGGGTCTGGGGGGCAAGTTGTTTGGGTCCAATTTAGTCCAATTGGGCCTAGTCATTAAATGATCCAATTAAAAGCCCAAGGTCAAGGTTCAACTCTCCAATTGTGCTAAAGTCAAGATCAGTCCACAAGGCAAGTCAATTGGGCTAAGGCCCAACTTCTCCATATATGCAAAGGTATAAAAGCCATCAATATTACATTTGTACATTCATTCAAACAAAGCCTCAAGCAATTAATTCTCTTGCATAGCATTCTCTTTCTACACACTGTACTGACTTTAGCATCGGAGGGGCCTTCCTCGGCAACACCCCCGAGGCTAGTTTACGTGTGTTTACTGTGCAGGAAACCTTCGGCCCAACATCACTTGGACCGAATCCAGTCTTCTCCACTTCATCGGGCCTTCGACAAGGTCCCATTATTTTCACCCGAAACACTATGTATTCCATTAATTGATACCAATTAATCACCAATAACCAAGGCTTTATCATAACTAAATCAATCTTAGTCTGTAAATGACAAAGAATTTAAGATGAAACCCCACTAACACCAAACATATCCATCTTAATTCTTAACAATGACATCCACCGAATTCTTCCATCTATTAACTTTGATTAAATTGGAATTAATTTATTTTCAGTTGGATTATTAATTTTGTAAGGTTGGACCGCCAATATTATTTTAGTTGGTGAGAAAAACGCATAATAAGAAGATACATCATACATGCATGTATATATAAATATATGTACCTTATTGAATTGGAACCATTCATAGTAAGGAGGTGGAAAGAATCCCTCTATTTCTGACTTCCCACCAGCAGGATATAGACCATCTGGAAACTCCTGTCACAATTTTGTTTTATTCATTTTTTTAGTTTATTTCAAGACATCTTATGTTTGATACATCCATAATTGTATACAATAATCCATCATTTTGCCTCAATTGCTACACACACATTGGTTTTAATCTACATATCTAAACAATAAAACACGATTTGCTTATAAGTATTAATTATCAATAAACGCTGTTAAAAGTGAAAGTCAAATTGTTGCGAGTATAAATTTTTTTTCTAAAGAAAAAGAAGTATACTGTATTTTCAACTTAAAGATGCTAGTGTGACTATTATACGCTTATCGTCTATTTATAGTTTTAAAACGCATAACACTAATCACCAAAACTAATGGAATATTGTTTGGAGGAAAAAACTAATGGAGTATAAAAACTACAGTGTAATTAGTTGCAGATCCGAGTTGTACTACTAAAAACAAAAATAAATGTTGATCGAGGTGAGTGAAGTGTGTTTTCCCAATTATTATGAACAAGTTGAAAACTTTGATTGACAAGCAAAATAAGGTTGGATCCAGTTGATCATGACTAAATAATATAGTGATGTCATGTCAAGGGACATCATTTTCCTTAATCACCTTTTTACATGGGCAATTAAGTCCATTCAAATAGTTGTTTGGCTACAAATCATCAATCTAATTAGGGTGTTTGAATGGTTTTATCTGAACTTATAACAATTTGTCGAAGCTACTCATATATGTGAGTGTATCAAAACTTCAAATAGATGAAAGACTTGAAACAAATAAGGTCTTATTAATAAAGTGATTGTAAATTTGTAATAACCTCAATTAATTATCATTACAAGTAAAATTAGCACCACTAAAATTTTGTCAATAAATTTTTCTTACCAACTTAAGAACTATTGCAAGTACATGATTAAACTTCATAATATACATACTGTAGTTACTTTATTTATGATAAAATTGTACTAATTTCAGATAATTAATAGAAAAAAAGATTTACCAAATCAAAATTAGCAAAAATTGAAGGATCCCATTTGCTGATTTGCTTCTTTAAGAAACTCCCACTTGTTCTGAATCCATGAAGACAAAGAATCTTCATCTTCTTATCATCTTCACTACTAATTTCCATTTTCTTTGAATTTTCTTACTTCACTCGAAAAATGAGCTCACAAAAAGATTAAATTAGTTTATTGGAGAAAAATAGTATAGGTTAGTTACTTAGTTATATATTGTGTACCTACCACCCAAGAAATTATAAAAGGCCAACTACCTCTTTTACAAGAGTTAGCTTCTGGTTTTTTCTCCTTCCACGTGAATTTCTCCTAACTTACTCTTTGGCCAAGCATTTAAGACCCTCTTGTGTTATTATTTTAAATTGCCTAATACTATATTTATATAACTCGAAAAAAAAAATATTCATATAACCTCGAAAAACTCAAATTTGTATAATCTCGGAGATAGATTTATCATTTCTTGTCTCAATCATATAATTAGAATGAAGTATTAAAAAAAATGTGGTGTTTTGTATATAATGTTGTATGATTCGTATTGTAGTTGCTTTGATTTGAATGCTTGACCTAGGAAGTTAAAATTCTTATCTATCACCTATGATAATTAATTGACTGGGCTAAGAGACTAAAACCAAGTTTTAGAGCATATTTGTTTCTAATTTTAATTCAGTAATTGTCTCTCTTGACTAAGTTTTCTGTATTTAATAGTGTCAGTAAACTACTAGAAAAAATTTATTAGTGTCAGCACCCATTATGTGGCTTACATCACGATTTATCGGCCTATTCATATTTCATACCTTTCACTCTACCCTGTATTGCACCCCTCCTCTTTTGCTACAACCCCGCCCCACCGCACATAAACATCAACTAAAATGTTATGCAATAGTCGATTGTCTCTACATCATATCGCAGTAAGCTATATAATCCTTAGTTATCGGGCCATTGTTTACCAATTACTAGCACCAATGTGCTGATGCTTCGCACACAAAAGCAACACAAGTTTCAACTTCCTTGCATTCACCCCAATCGAACCATAAGTCTAACCAATGAGCTGATATAAATTTGTGAGATCTTAGTTTGTGATTTGATGTACAAAATCTTAGATGCCAGTCACAGAAGTTCGGATCTATATAATCTGATCAACTACAGAATATAAGTTTAGAAATTAAATTAAAGTACTAACGGATATATATATATATATATATATATATATATATATATATATATATATATATATATATCACCATCATACATATACCGATTAATTAATGACTAATACATGACTATCAACAATTCCATTCACAATTTGAATGATAACGAACCAAATACTAACTAAACATATTTGAAATACCCTTGATATGTTTTGTTTCATCTTGAAATTTATTTTATATGTATAATTGTATCATGTAATCCAATTTTGTCGAACAAACCATGATAACTGTCAATTTTTCAATAGCTTTACATCAAATGATTCAGCTAATTCTTGTCAATTCATGCAGAAAATAATAAGTATAGTAGTTATCTTCAAATCATGTTTAGCTAATACAGCCAATTTAAGTAATTAGATGATAATTCCTATGTGTAATACACAGCATAAAGAAAGAAGAAATAAATTGGAGGGCCTCCTAACATAGCTTTAAATCTAGTTTATAAAATTAACAAATTAAAATATATATTAAAAAAAAAAAAACATTGATTAAAATTAGTTATCCTATACCAAGAAAAGTTAATTGTATAATTGCAAAGCCACTATATTAATCGGTTGGCAATAAGGAATATACGCCAAACCCGCAACATGCGTACCAAAAGCTAGCTAGAACCAGTGAACCACCTAAGATTTTTCTACTTAACACCTTTTATTATACTTGTGTATATACTTATAGTATATAATCAACAAGTTATTTCATCAGTGATTCAATTTCACGTGCTAATAAGTAAGGTGAAGATAGATAGCAATTGATGAATACTCAACACATAGAGCTTGTTTGGTAAATGACTTTTGCTTGACTTTTTGGTTGGCGTTTGACTTTTGGCTTTTTATCTTGGTTGAACGGCCAAAATAAGTGTTTGGTAAATGATTTTTTTTTGGCTAAAAAGCCGGCTTTTCCGCTAAAAATAAAACACTAGTCTTACTAGCTTTTTGGTATTAGCTTTTGGCTTTTTACCATTAAAAATTACTTTTCTATTAATTATTAATAATTAATAATTATAATAATTAATAATACTTAACTATTAATAACTAATTATTTTTATTAATAATGATACTTAACTATTAATAATTAATGATAATTAAAAATAACTATTAATTAAAAATAATTAATAATTAACAACTATTAATTATTAATTAGTAAAAATTAGTAAAAAATATATATTAATAATTAGTAATTTAATTAATAATTATTATTTAATAATAATAATAATAATAATAATAATAATAATAACACTAACGTCCTTAAAAGTCATTTTTATATAAAACAACCAACAACCAACAGCCAACAACCAACAACCAACTTTACCATATTAACAACCAACAGTCAAACATCCAACATAAATAGCCAATACAAACAGTTGGTCAGACCAGCCAAGAAAAACAAACAACAGCCAATTGCCAAATAAGACCATAATAAAACCATTTGAACATATTTCCTAAAATGTACTTCGAGCTATAATGAAGTATGAAAAATAGTATTTTCGAGCTATAATGAAGTATGAAAATTAATATTTACTCCATTCTTTAAATGTATATTCATCTATGGTTCAATATAATAAGAAGAAAAAAAATCATGATCTCATAAGTTCCTTTATAATGTATTGTGTAATAACAACATACGTGGTAATATTAATTACAATATAAAAATATAAAAATAAAAATGTTAATGAATACAGTAAAAAATAAATAAATAAATAAATCACACTAAAGATCGTATAAAACGTAAACAAGAAAATCTTTAAGGAACAATAGGAATAATGCAAGATAATAATTGTCACAATTGCTAATTTTAATTAATGAATATGGTGTTTTTAATCTTAGTGTTAGTTTTGCAATGATTATTGAACACTTTCAGGTGACTTTGTTTAATGTCAGTGTCATATGTGAAGTTCGATCATACATTGTAATATCATATCGTACGAATCACGACCTAAAATAACTATAGAATTATTTCCATGTTCAAGTAACTAGCTATTTGAATTCTTAATATGTTTTTGTTACATAGAAAAGGGTTGGCTTAAGGATTTGCAGGATTGGGTATTGATTAATAAATAACTTAGTGAAGTATCAGAGTGACCACATACCTTAATTGCTATATATTATTGGTTTCATCGATAATGATCCAAATTGAGTTGATATATAATAATGCTTTCACTAATTTAGAAAGTGTGGGCTGTTATAAAATTCACCATAAAACGGTAAATAATAATTGATTAGCTGGTTGATGTGAATCTTTAACTAGTTCTAACTCCTAGATAGAGAGTTAGACGAGGTGTACTATCCCTATAAGGAAGGTTCAAGTTTTATTACAAGCAAGCTAGTGTGGAGGTTTACCATAGAAATAGTTTTATTTTTATTTTTGGGAAAAACCTAGCCACATTTTTTTTTTTTTTTGGGGAAAAACCTAGCCATATCCTATCATATCACTAATAAATAAAGTCGGTCTCGCAGCGCGAGACCGCGACACTCGCCATTCCAGTTTTTCGCCAAGTGTCGCGCCACATAGGCGATAAATTGGGATTATTGTGACACATATGATGCTATGTAAGCAATTTTTGGATAGATTTTATAAGATAAAATTATTGTATGGAGTTTTATTATCGATAGAATTCTAATATTTCATATATACTAAAATTAATCATAACTTTAATAAATATCTTATAACTCAATTCTATTTCCATCATCAAATTCATTTTAAAAAGTTCTTTAAAATAAGATCCATTTATACTATATTTAATCACAAACTTTTATACGTAGCTGGCCAAACCGTGTCACCAACTATTACAAGAGTTATTTCATTAGTGCTATATTGGTCAGTGTTATAGTGGTTACTCAATCAGTGGTATAGATAGGGATTACTTAGTCATTGTTAGAGGTAACTTAGTTAGTATCATAGGGGTTACTCAGTCAGTTTTATAGGGGTTACTTTGTCCAGCCAGATGGTGTGGCTAGCCGCATACAAAATGCAATGTTATTTAATTTATTTAAAAAAATATTAGAGAATCAGTAAAAATAAGTTTTAATCAGTAAAAATAATTTTAGTTTGGTAAAAATACTTTTAGTTTAGTGAAAATAATTTAAATTCAATAAAAATAATTTCAAGTCAATAATAACATATATATTTATTTACAAACAAAATTACAAAAAGTACACTATTATATAAATATAAGTCATATGATATCGTATGTCTAAATATCCTATATTACTCCCTCCGTGTTTTAATAAGTGTTACACTTTGACCGGCATACAGTGTTAGACAATTTAATTGACTTAAATAAAATAAGAGATAAGTGGGGTACTTGGAGTATTAAAAAATTACAAAAGAAAGATAGTGGGGTTAATAATTTATTGAAAAGTAATGAATGTAAGAGGGGGAAAATAATAAAAAAAAATGTAGTAGAAGGTCTTGATATAGTATTAAAAGGAAGTGTAACACTTATTAGAACACGCCGCATTTGATAAGTGTAACACTTAATAAAACACGAAGGGAGTATCAGAACGAATTATTTGACCGATTTAACATTCAAGAAAAATATTATCTTAAAATTTTATCAACCATCTGAGTATCGCCCGGGCACATAACTAGTCACTAATATATAAAGCCGGTCTCGCAGTCAGGCCACAAGACAGCGACACTTGGCATTTCAGTTTTTCGCCAAGTGTCGAGCCACGTAGGCGAAAAATTGGTATTATTGTGACACATAAGATGTTAAGTAAGCGAATTTTGGATAGATTTTTGTAAGATAAAAATATTGTATAGTGTTTTATTATCGATATATTTCTAATATTTCATATACACAAAATTAATTGTAACTTTTAATAAATATCTTATAACTTAGTACTATTTCCATCGTAAAATTCGTTTTAAAAAGTTCTTTAAAATGAGATCCATTTGTAATATCTTTTAATAAAAATTGAAATCAGTTAAAAGAAGTTTTCATCAGAAAAAATAATTTTAGTATTTTAATATAATATAAATAAGCGATATGATATCGTATGTCTAAATATTTTACATTATAAAAAGGGGTTATATGATCGTATTTAACATTCTTACATTATTAAAAGGGGTTATATGATTGTATTTAATATTCAAGTTAAAAGGTTTAGGACAATCCGGGCATCGCCCAGGCACAAAACTAGTTATATTATATTCCTACACTAGATTAGTACTCGTGCGTTGCACGGTGGTGATAAACAATTTTTTCATATTTCTTTTATATCTTTTGTTGTTGATAAATTTTTAACATGACTTAGCTCGCTTTTTATTTTGTAAAAATAAAGTTACTCTATAAATATTAAAAAAAAAAAAAAAACATGTACATCATCCTTTTTTTTTTTTAATGATTATAATTTAATGCTACATCATAATATTTACTATGTTATTGAAAATATACTAAAATGATGGTTAGAAAAAATATACTTTGTATAAAATATTGCATTATCTAATGAGCTTAAACATTTATAGTGGAAATACAACAATATTGATGTTAAAGTCAGGTTCGGATTTTTAGTTTCATACCTATTTGGTTCTAGTTTCTAGCAAATAAAATAAAAATACAAAAAAATAAATAAAAAATGATGACCTCATATGTAAATTTAGAGGGAAATTTTTTAATGAGAGCTTGACACATAAGACATTTTAGGAATTGATGACATCAGTATATTTTGTTTTAGTAATAGTTAATAGATTTTCACTATTATACGATTATGCTGCATAGGATTATTCTGTTAATTACATGCATAAAAAATAAATTATAGGAATAAATTTGAGACAATTTTATGAAACTTCCTTAAAACAAAATTTCTAAAATGCAAAAAAATTGTCAACATTGACAATAATTTTACAAGGAAACACCTGTTTTTATAGGCAAGGTTTACATTGAATTCCATTCTGTTGTTGAAGTACTCTACACTTGAGTGAAAATAAAAAATACTCCGTACTTTATATTGGTGTTGTAACCGCTGTAAAACACATTGAAATTGAATGATTGTGTTGTAATCACTGTAAGACACATTGAAATTGAATGAGTAGTTGTATGTATTGTGATATTGTAACTTTGGTTTTAGTCTTTGAAAACAATGTAATCTCTACTATTTATTGTGTTTATTTCGAAAAAAAAAAAATATATCTTTTTCATTTACCTATTTCAGGGTTACGTACTTTGTATATCATTATTCTTAACTTATAATGTAACTCTATTTTTTTATTATTTTAATTTTTTCTCAAATTTATATTGAGAAGTTTGAAAGACAAGGTGTTTTCTGCGCTTGGAATATTATTAGGTTATGCAGAGCTACAATTAATATTGACTACTCGGATTTAGGTTCCAAAATTATCACAAGAATTTTCTTCCTCCCAAAATTTCGAAGCGAGGACATCAAGAATATGCCGAATTGTTATATATGTATATATATGGATTCTTAGTTTTTCCCAGTTAATTTTTGTTTAATTTTGCTAAATCTATTTCCTTTATCGTTAATTGTTAATTGTTAACTGTAAATGTCGTATGACTTTAATCAATGAAAATTAGTGTCATTTTGAACTTTGTTTAATTATTAAAAAAAAATAATAATAAAAAAAAAAACCTAAACCGACGAGTTTTGAACAAGATCTAGTGATCTACGACCCTACGTAGGGGTGGCAATTCGGGTCAGCAGGTCAGATTTCGGGTCGATTTCGGGTTATATTTAGAAACTATTAAAAATAGTGTAAAACTTAATATTATTACGAAATATGAAATTTGGGTCAAATCGGGTCGAATTCGGGTTATTCGGGTTCGGTTCAGGTCGGGTTCGGGTCTCTCTCAGTAACTTCGGGTCGGGTTCGGGTCGGGTTTTCGTGTCGGGTCAGGGTTTGCCAGCCCTAACCCTACGTGCAGTTTTAACAGAAAAGGAAATTGCCGTTGGCCCCATTTTCACTATTCATGAAAATAAACTTTTTATTTTTATTTTTAAAAACGGAGAATCTAATTCTCTAACGTCTATAAATCAGAAAACGTCTTCTACTGACATACCTATCATTTCAAATATAAATTAAAATTAAAAAAATTATTTGAAATGATTTGAGTATTAATTAAATTATTCATACAAAAATAAATAAAAAATGCATTTTTTCAACGTTTATGTGGGTCCCCCATGTCTTCATCTATATAATCATCCCCCTTAATTTCTTCCAATTTCTCTGATTTCTTTTTTTCACCAAAAAAGGAAAAAAAAAAAAAAAATCGACTCCGATTATTATTTTCAAGGAGCCTTACTCTATTTCTCTCAATCTTTTCTTTTTCTCTCTCTTAGACTGTGCACTTCAGATAAGGTGAATTTTCTCTCTTTTCTACTCAAATTTTCAGTCTTTAGAATTTGTTATTCTTTGGATTTGTGATTTTAATCTGGGTTTTTTTTGTTCTTAATATTTATGTGATTAATTGATTGATTCTTTTGATTTCTTGTAAGTTTTAGTAGTTAGATACTTAATTAGTGATGATTAAAGTTTTGGGGTTTTCTTGTTTCTTTGATTACATTGATAGTGTTTGTTGAATTTTGGTGTTACCCATTTTTTTAATTTTATCTGAATTGGTAAATTGAGTGGAAGATTGAAACTTTTTGGTGAATTAGGGTTTGATTGGTGAAATTAAATTCAATTTAGGGTTTTTTGCATGAATTTGAATTGGGATTTCTGGTTATATTTGGAGGTTGTGATTTAATTTCAATCGGGTGTTTTTCTCTTGAATTGAATTTGGGGTTTCTAGGTTTTTCTGCATTTTTTTTTTTTCTGGATTCTCTTTATGCTTTTTTTTTTTTAATTTTTTTTTATCTCTTTCTTTTTGGAATCCAGTAAAGCCAAAGTCTATTAGATATAGGGGGGAAAGGAAATTTTTTGTTTGTTTTGTTGACTTCCTAGTTGAGGTAAAGAGTGTACAAATTGTGCAAACATGTATCATCAATATAATCTGTTTTTTAGGGTAAAGGCAGTAGAAGAAGTTCTCATATTGGCTTCTGTGATTGATTTTACATTATAGAGGGTATTAGTTTAATGATACCGTTGATATCATTTCCTGCTGGAGTGAGTAAGGGTGAACGAAGTTACGGAGTCATTCTACCTTAGGGAGAGGATTCGAAAGTAGTTGATTTTAGAATTTTGCTAAAAGGGAGGCAGTCATCCGAATTACATGATTGACATTTCTAATTTAGAATGTGGCTCTTTTTAAAATTATTGTTACTAGTAAAAGGATTTGATCATTACGCGTTATGTTTTAAAATGTTGCTCAATTATTCTCTCTATCACTATTATTCGAGAGGAAAGAGTTTATATTTCCTACTTGATGATACGTTACATATAGGTTAACTTTGAGGATAGTTTGACAATTGGTCCAAAATTTGAATTTTGACGATTGATTTATGTGTTTGAATGTCACTTGAAGATTTGAAGGCTGGAGAAGAACTTTAATGAGTTATAACGTACTTTATGTCAAATTTATCTTCATGAAAAGATGAAAATTAATAATCACTCGGGAAAGTGGTTGTATGAAAAGTGATAATAAGCACCATGGGGAGAGAGCATAAATCTTAGTAATGACTTTCATGAAGGAGCTCATGCAGCATGCTGGTGAAAAACATATGTCGCTGATCCTAAATTTCGGTTGAGGATTGATTGTAACTATGCTGTGAAGGGTGGAAAATCGTTTTTATGTCCCTGTGATGTTAAAGATTGGGATTTAAACTACTTTTTGGGATCATCTAGCATGGAATAAGTGGTTGTTTTGTTCAAGGGATTTTAACTCTTAGATGCTACAGAAAGCTGCACTATTGGTAATATATTTCGATATGCATATTTTCATATGGCTCCTGGTAAATTGCTTAACATATTGGTCGACATTCGCACTTACTGGGTGTCACATCTCATTTGTTTTGGGAATTATATTTTGTAGAGAATTCTCACTCTCCCCCAAGTATCATAATCATGGTCAGCCAAACAACACAATACAGCACTTCCTTGGAAGTTTGTGTTAGTGTGTTTATAGTCAGCAGAGAAGGTTTCAAATTTTTTTAGTCTGTTTAATTTGAATAGAGTAAAACAAGATTGTCGTAGTTAATGATGTTTACAAGAAGACCTACACTATCAGGCATTCATGCTAGCAAGTTTTGCAACTCAAAATATAAGCAAGCAATAGCACAGTAGATCTCTAGAGGGTATTGTGTGCTTTGAAATAAAACATGCCTGGATTTTATTTTGTAGTTTATGTACGAAACATTATAGCTCTTGTATTTATTTAAATATCCTAACTTGTTCTTTTTATGCAGATAATAACCCTGCTCGGAGCCCCTCACCTCTGCAATAGTGGTTGTAGGAGCTTCAAAGAGTCAGGTGAAAGCTAAAGGTCAAAGCAGCTTGTCAAATTAATAACTTGCCTAAATGGTAATTTTGCCTACTATATTCTTCTTTTAATTCTTTTGCCTTGATATGACCTAAGTCTAGCAGTATAGTAATATGTTTTTATAAATGCACGTTATAAGTAGGTTTCAGGGGAAAGGATTTGATGTCAAAAATCTTACTGAATTCCAATATGAATTTAATGAGATTCTTATTTTCATCGACTATATGGCTGATTAGTCAAGTACCATGTGTGCTCATTAAGAGCATGTTTGGTACAGTGTTTTTGAGTGGTGGTAATGAAATTAATTAACCATTTCCATTAACTTATTTTTTGTATGAGAGGTGTGGTAAAACACTAGGCGTAACCATTATTCTTCATTTGTTATCTCTCTCAACCCTATAATAACAAAAATGTTAACCTCAACCCCAATTTGATACCAGTGATTCCTTTCCAAGTGTTACCAAACAACATATAATAATGTTAAACACTCTACATTACAATTTCTCCTTATCTGTTTCCATTCCATTTTCTATCCAATATCCATACCAAACATGCACCAAGTTTGATACAGTTACATTAACCTGATTTCTAGGCATTCTCTTCTCTTTCCTCTTTGTAGTTTTTGGTTTTCAACTTTACCTCTCTTTTTTAATATTGAAAGTAGTGTCCTTTTAGGCGGCCCGCTTTCGCAGTGGTTGGTTCTTCCAAAACTGCATCTCTGTTTCTGATGTTTATACTGGGCAGACTCTCAAATCTTATTGCACGGAGATCCCTTAGTATATATGTGGTGTTTCACATCGATGCATTAGCTTAGTGAAATTCATAGACCTTTCATTGTGTGACCAAGGCTAATATTCTTTTTTTTCACTGTAGGCTACAAATGAAAATCTTCCGCCAAATGTGATTAAGCAGCTCGCAAAAGAGTTAAAAAATCTAGATGAAACTCCTCCGGAAGGAATCAAAGTTGGCGTCAATGATGATGATTTCACGACCATATTTGCTGATATAGATGGCCCAGGTCTGTTTTCCTATCTTTCTCTCTTAATTAGGCATGATGATTTCTATGCATTTATAATGTTGTTGTTGACATCTGCTCCTGAATTTTGCAGCTGTAACCCCATATGAAAATGGTGTGTTCCGCATGAAATTGATATTGTCGAGTGACTTTCCCCATACTCCTCCCAAAGGTAATTATTTCTTTTTCATTTGCTAGTACATCTTTGTCTCTTTGGTTACATTCCCTTGTATAATTTCCTATTTTCAAATTGCTGATAGACTATTGATTGATTACATTAATGATGATTTCTACATGTGATGCTTCAATATCTCCTCTGATGTTTCTATACATGAATGTGATTGTACACCCCTCCCCCCTCCCTTCCCCCCCATGAAATGGTCACTGATATGTGGCTTTCAAGTTTGATTATGTTTAAATATGCTGTCTTTTACGTAACCAGAAACAAAATGTTAGATGTTGGGAATGTAAGAGCTCATATAGTAGGTTTTTCCCCTCTTTAATCTATTTACTGTTTGGCCTTCCCCATGAATTGGTCACTGATATGTGGCTTTCAAGTTTGATTATGTTTAAATATGCTGTCTTTTACGTAACCAGAAACAAAATGTTGATGTTGGGAATGTAAGAGCTCATATAGTAGGTTTTTCCCCTCTTTAGTCTATTTACTGTTTGGCCTGCTTCATTGACCAATGCTTTTAATTTTTTTTTTGCTGCCAGTTGGTATCTGATGTGTACTGCAAATTTTTTCCGTCTAGAGAACTTATCCACTATGATTTAGAAATAATGATTTACCATACTGATGACAGGTTATTTCCTTACCAAGATTTTTCACCCTAACATCGCGAATAATGGTGAAATTTGTGTCAACACTTTGAAAAAGGATTGGAACCCAACGCTGGGATTGCGACATGTTCTTTTGGTTTGTGCTGCCGACTTTTCTTTTTTATTTTTAATTTTTGTGTTTTCATGTCATGTCAGCCCTTGAGATCCTGTTTCTATTCTTAGTGGAATTCTCACACAATTTGTGGTTATTGTTTCCCTGAAAACAGGTTATAAGATGCTTACTTATTGAACCTTTTCCGGAATCTGCTTTGAATGAGCAAGCTGGCAAGATGCTGCTTGAAAACTACGAGGAGTATGCAAGGCTTGCTAGGTAAGCTTATATTCTTTATTATTTATTTTTTCACTTTTTTTTTAAATAAATAAAAATTCTACCCTTTACTTTCAGCTCGTCGTCCCCCCCTCCCCCCACCCAAAAAAAAAAAACAAAAAAAAATTGTAGGGTTGGTATAGAGACTAAAAGTTGACAAGTAGTAATATGTATGGAAGTGGATAGGAAGTGAAGAGTAGTCGAGAGGAATTGTTAGGATAAAGTGAGAAATAAGGTTGATGGAAAGGAAATCGTAGAAAAATTATTTAAGTTGCAGCTGAAATGTGAAGGTGATTTGGGGGCAACAACCTTGGGAAAGTCAAAAATGTGAAGAAAGTTTAGGACGGGAGGGAGTGATAATCGTTGCCACACGTGTGATTTATGTAGCTAGTAAAGAATCTAATAATCATTAAGATTACAACCAGTTTGTCAAAAAAAAAAAAAAAAAGAGACTACAAACCAAAAGATAAAGAGTCTTTTGAAAAGGGGGGAAAACACAATTTTGAATGGTTAAGTGAAATAATTCTTGGAATACAGGTTTTTTTGAATTTATCTTATCAATCTATATTGGTGTATTTTGGCAGATTGTACACAGGAATCCATGCCAAGCCTAAATCCAAGCTAAAGCATGGCGCAATTTCTGAGTCAACCACAGCTTTGAATGTCGACCAGAGAAACAACACAGCTCAAAATGCTGATCAGAAAAGCACATTAGCAAACACTGGGGCTCCTTCACCGTCCCCTCTGGCCTCCTCAACGACTAGCAGTAAGGCAACGAGCCTTCAAGATCAGCCTGCGGGAGCTCTGCCATTAAGTGAGAATGGAGCAGTAGGGTCTTCAACTGTGCCGCCAGCAGCTGCGGCACCTGTAGCGCAAAAGAAGGATGTTGGTTTGAAGGCCCAGGCCGAGAAAAAGAAGATTGATGCGAGAAAGAAGAGCTTGAAGAGATTATGATTTCAAATCAAATGTAGACAGTAATTGGTGACTGTCGTATACTGTTGTTTTAGATCATTTTTCTCTCTGCCTATACCCCTCCCCATAGAGTGTCACTTTGTCTCCATTAGAGGGTGGCACCATTGACAAGTTGCTTTGACACATTGTAATGAATATGTATTTGTCTATTTGGGAGTTTTTTTTTTACTGTCATCTTGGCCTTTTGCTCTTTGCACCTTCTAATAAGTTTCAAGAAAATTAAGTGCAAATAACTTTTAAACATTCCTGATTGATCGAATGTTGACGTTTTGCATTTGTTTTAATCTTACAGTTATACTCGATGATTTGTGTCCTTACAGCTTGTTTAGAGGGATAGGATAAAAGAGGAGGGATTTAACAAATCTATTGTTTGTTTAGAGGGATAGGAATTAGGAGGGGGATAAAAAAAAGGGAGATATAGGGGTGGTATAAGGGATGGTGATTAAATTTAATGGGTAAAAGACATTTGTACTCTTAATGAAAGAGAAAGAAGAAGAGAGTGAAGAAAGAATAGTAAGGTAATTTTGTATTTTATTAGTTATTCCAATCCAATCTCAATCCCTACCAAATAATGAAATACACTATTTTTATTCTTATCCTATTTATTAATTTCACCTTCTTATCCCACTTAATCCCAACCCTCCTACCAAACACCCCGTTATTGTTTAAAACTACGATACTTCATTTCAAGCCTTGTCAAAAAATAATTGATGAAGTACCCATAGAGTACAATCTCGTACTATGGAAGATATGATAAGGATGGCACAATTTACTTCGATGTACATATTAGATCACAACTGATTTCCTTTGAATTTCTACATTTAAGTCTCTTTAATCTCAAAAGCAAACTAGCGACAAATTGTTGAATAAGGTTGTTATTTGTATCGCTTGGATTTTGAGTAGCAATTGTAGTCCGAAACTATAAAAACTGGTTTCTTCCGATAGGACGAATGGCTGTCAGGTATGGGCTCGACAATTACATTCAGCATATACAACCTAACCTACAAGTTATCCTGTTAAATGAACGCCCAACTATCACAGATGATTAAACCATCACCAAACGATCCAGAAAATTCAGATAATAGGATATATTTTTAATAAACTGTTGGGTATAGCCATCCAATTACTTCATGCTACGAATACAGATGAACTGGAAAATGTACATAATAACGACGATGGAAACTCGCTGAAGGAAAGATGAGACGACGAAAATCAGAGAAATTGAGTCAAGCCATTCATCAAAATTAGTTGGTTCTCCCAAGCGAATCGGATACAATAGAAACCAGAAGAAAACATAAAGTCACCAAGACAAGACATCATTACAGTAATGGGTAAACAAGGATCAACAGAAATCACATAACCACAACATCGCTAAATATCTGGTTTCCATGCATCAGAAATTACTAATGAAAAAAAAAAAGCTATAGGTCCATAATAATTCACTAAGCCATTTTACAAATTTGACTTTTCCCCCCCTTCTCCATCAACCACCAGAGAAATCCTTACTTGGCCATCATGACTTTGACGAACTCCTCGTAGTTGATTTGTCCATCACCATCGACATCGGCCTCACGGATCATCTCATCAACTTCTTCATCGGTAAGCTTCTCACCAAGGTTTGTCATCACATGGCGTAGCTCAGCAGCAGAGATGAAGCCATTCTGGTCCTTGTCGAAGACACGGAAAGCTTCCTTCAGTTCCTCCTCAGAATCGGTGTCTTTCATCTTTCTGGCCATCAAGTTGAGGAATTCAGGGAAATCGATAGTACCATTTCCATCAGCATCAACCTCATTGATCATGTCCTGAAGCTCTGCCTCAGTAGGGTTCTGACCAAGGGACCTCATCACTGTTCCGAGCTCCTTGGTGGTGATGCAGCCTGCAATAATAAAAACAGGTCAGGTGACAGCAAAGAGAAGACAAAGTATTCATCACCTGATTCACCTCTAACTTAATAGTCTAAAAACTAAACTAAGTAACAACTTTAGCAATTAAGGATCACAATTTTACAGATCCATGTTTCTTTATAAGATAGCCCAGTAAGGGTACGGCAATAGATAGTGTCGCACTAAGTCATCAGTGTCATCGCGACAATCTATACAATGTAATGCATCTCTTGTATAAGCTACCAGATTGATACTACAAATAGCACAATCTAACCTAAAATCAGTAAACAAAAGCATGCAGAATTATGCATGGATGAGAATCATACAGCACAACAGTCTGATAAAGTGCCCAAGGGGTATAGTTGGTGCCAAGTAACTATCAAAGGATACAGCAAAGAACCGGTAATGAAGCCCAGAATAAAATATACAAGTAGAATACAATAATTAAAGCACAGTTAAGATCACCATCATTCACGTAAACCATAAAATTGATTTACAAGACTAAAATATACTGGCTCAATTAATCAAAAGCATACACCCACAAAAACACAGAACACAAAACAATTACCAATTGAGATCACCATCACATGCTGGGATGATTAAATTGAACAAGGTAAAAAATAATAATAATAATAATAATGAAGGCGAGCAGTTGTCCATCAAGTGCAGTAAAATCACATTCAATTTCAACTAGAATATTGATTTCGAAAGTTTCAACTAACTATGTTTTGCATGTCAAAGAAATCGACAAAAAAATCTACTACCAGCGCAAATTCATTCATTTTTCATACAACAATATTCGCAACCGATACCATACCACAAGATTGGAAGCACAATCAACAAAAAAAACAAACCCACAAGACCTAGTAAAATCTATCTTTAAAAGGCGCCATCTACACAAAAGATCTTCCCATTGAGTCCATTGACCCATTATCAATAAAAAAAAACCATCTATTCCATACAAATCCGGCATACCTTATACCTCCCATGTGATCAATTCACAACCATCACCACCCAAAATGAATCCCTACAAGGATAACAACAACAACCACCTCCATAAATGCGATCAAGACGAGTTTCGGGGTAGTTTAGAGGTACAAAAACATCACTAAATAATCAACAAGTCACAATTACTATTATCCTATTTTGCGAAATTCCATCAAATTCCAAAACAAATCTACTCAAAAATTCATTTTTTCGATAAATCACGACGAATCTCTCCGTCGAGACAGTACTCAACTTAACGATACCGTCGATACAATAAACCCTAACATGACGAATAAATCCAACACTTTATTCACTGTTTCAAAAAAATCCAACAAATAAACCTTTTGTTCCTTTCCCTAAACGAAGTAACCAACAAAGTCAACAATATTCAACGCATTTTCATCAAATTATCCAAAAAAAATCATGATATTTCATCAATTTAATCAATTAGCACATTTCTCATATCCATCAATTCAAATTGAAAAATCACCTTTATCTTAAAATTAAATCAATTAAACGCATAAAACAACAGATCTTCAACATTATTCTCATAATCAATCAACAAAAACACAAATTAAACAAGTCAAAAACGCCAAAAATCAAATCAATCGAACCCGAAAACGACGCAAAATAAACCAACAAAAACCAAAAATTCCAAAAAAAAAAAGAAAAATCAGATCTAGTAAACGAAGAAGATGAAGAACAAACCATCGCCATCTTTGTCAAACAAGCTAAAAGCTTCCTTAAACTCAGCGATCTGTTCGTCGGTGAGTTGTTCCGCCATTTTTTCTCTCTCTAAAAAAACTTCTCTTCTTTCTCTCTCTAAAAACAAAAACTTGTTTTTTCTCTTTGAATTTTCTCTCTCCAAAAAATGAATATCTATCTCAACTTTAGGAAAACTGTAAAAATTAAAAAAAAAAAAAAAAAAAAGGCAAATACGTAGTATATATTTCTATTTATTTTTAGGGTATCACAATTTTTTTTTTTTTTTTTTTAAAGTTTATTTATTATCTTAATATTAGCCAATGTTCTTCGTTTATATAGGAAGAGCCGAAGAGAAGATTAAGGTAGTGGGCCACCTTAATTCCTTTGATTAATTTGCTTATTATAGTATAAAAATAATTAATCTACGTTTAACATATATTTATTGATATTTTTACTAAATTTGTCATTAATTCTTTTTTTTTGGTGTTAATGAATAATTGAATATGAGAAAAGTGGGGCATCTTCTTGCATTGTAGTCCCCCTTCCCCTTGTCTTTCGGTTTCGCATTTGATTTTTTGAGGTTTGTATGACTTGTCATGTCAAGTCTTCCCTTCAAGGGGACGACTCGTAGATATTACATGGATTAGTCGGTTTCATTTTAATTGCAACGAAGTATTATTTATTTTCAAACGAATTAAAAAAAAGTCCATATAAAATGAGCATGGGTTTTGCCTTTAGAGGAAAAAGTGGATAAAAAAAAGTATCATGTATTGTAATATTGTGAATTTGCAAATAGTGAAAAAAAAAAAATAGCGTTTAATCATTCTTGAATGGAGAGTGTAATTAATTTGATGCAATTTGGAATGACAAAATGTTACAAGTAATTGTGGATGGATATAATAAAAACTATTTTGACGAATAATTTTTCTCAAGTGTTCATTAGTTATTTTCCATTTATTGCATTCACTTTTATCCTGGAAACAAGAATCTAATATAGGATTACATCAAAAGAAAACTAACGAAGTTAAACGTACTACATGAAAAATTGAAGATTATGAACAAGCACATCTTCTCGTTCACTCTCTAAAATATAAGAGCATTGGATATAAAAGAGACTTATTTTAAAAAAAAAATCGAGACCAACTAACCCCTTCTGACCGAGTAACTCCCTTAAAACACTAACGAGGTAATCCATATTGACTAGGCTATTCGATATGGCAAGCCACAAACAAGAATTTGTGCACTTAGATTAGATATTTACAAAATGAACTTTTTATTATTTTTTCGTTGATAATAATAAGAAGGAAAAAAAAAAAAAAAAAAAACCAATAGATATCATTTGATAAATCTATCTCTTTTTCACATGATCGTCGATTGGCAGACACGGAGGTTACGCGGAACTTTACGCGGTGTGGCGGGCCCCACATTCCCTCATCAACATCTCACGTTGACTATTCTAGTATCTCTTCTTTGTCTATTTCATTTGTTGTCTCTTTCGATTAGAATGTCATTACCACTTTAATCAATAAACTTTTATTTAATTTAAACTTTGATTTAATTAACTACTAATCACATGCTTAGTCAAGTGTTAACAAGAGTAATAAAGATTATTACGCAACTCATTCAACTCTTTAACATCAAATCAAGGTTTATGTAATGACTAATTGATTTTCGAAATTATATTGGATTTACAAGTGGTTAAATTTCATTGGTTGATAAAGAATTACTAAAGCGATGTTCTTTAAATAAGCTTTTTCAATAAAGAAAATTATATTTTGATCGGTTGAAAAGATAATAAAGCTAAAATATTAGGTTAAAACAATTTATTATTAAGTTTTTTACACCATTACAATTACTATTATGTTCAAAAAAATTTATTCTAGCTAAATTATATAATGAACACTTAATTAATCAATCTTAATTAATTAATCAATCACTACTACAAGATTTAAGTACATCATAGAGGGCAACATAAGTCATCCTTTTTGATATACTTTTCATGTAGATTTTCCAATTTTGGATGTCTCAATCTCGTAATTGTAATCTTTTTTCAATGAAGCAATTATAATTTTGATTAGTTTAAATGTAAAAAATTTGTATATTACTCCATTTGTCTCATGTTTTTAGGTATAAGTTTCCGTACTTATTACATTTATGGAAATAAATTAAGATTGCATGTATCGTTAACTTTTGAAATTTTGGAAAATGGATGGGCAGAGTACGTGTTAAAAAAATTATATGGGTCTATGGGATGTTATTGACCAACAATACAGTGTAGACATATCGGTCGGATCATTCTACTTGGACCATGGTCACTATCAGTCTTAGCATATCGCCTTTATATTATCATCCTTGTGGAGACATGTCTTCGACCACGTGGGCACTTGTCACCCATTTGGGATTGGGAATATTTTATAAAAATCCCAAGATTTCCAACACATTTCACCTCTAAGTTACAATTTTCTTAACCAAAATACTTTCAAAATTGCTTTCTTAACCAATATACTCTCAAAAATTACTTTTCTTAAGCATATCGAACCTATATTGACTTTTATCATCGAAACGGATTTCCTCACACAAAACCTGAGGACAACTAATCTACTTTAAGTGTGCACATATACAGTTTAACGATGAACCATTATTGGCCAAAATACAAGTTTGTAGGTTATACCGGGAAAAATTATATTCAAACTTATACATTAGATACTACTCTGTATTCCGATATTTCCTGATTAATAATTTATTATGTTAATTTTGATGCTAATTATATTTTTTTTTTTAGAAAAAAAAAGTAGTGTTGATCTTGTGGACTGCTAAATTATGAAGCAGCTGTAGAAGAATAATCAAGTGTATATGGATTAGCTTAATGTTTACATTATACAAAGTATGTATATATACAAGTTATAACAACTAACCTAGAGAATTATACGTTATACTTAGATAAATAAGGAATATTAAAGATAATAAAGAATAATCTCCTATAATTATGCTCAACTAACTTGACTTGGTAGTCTTATCTTCAACAGCAACATCTCAAGAAAATGCCCAAATACGATAACAAATTGCGAAGTTGGGCTTCCACCGATACTTTGGGATGTTTCTATAATCTAGTAGCATCACACTTATGATAGTAAACTAGATTAAGTCTCGTGCCACTCATAGATTTTACAAAATTTTATAACGAATTATAATGTTAATTCAAAATCTACCCAAAAAATAATTCTCATATTTTTAAATGAAATTGAAAAAGTTTGAATCTTAATTTATACCCAGAATTAAGCCCCCGAATTCGAATTAGACCAAACGGTAAACCAGGTAGAACACGAAAAAAAAGTAAAAGATATAGAATAATATTATATACATAAATATATGGAAAATATGTAAATATTTTTTTAGAAAGTGAATCACAATTATATGATTTGGTGAATATTTTTTTTAAGAAAGTGAATCACAATTTTATAAATAAGTGAATTTTTTTTAGGAAATGAATAAAAAAAACCAAGAAAAAAAGTTTTGGAGGGAAAAAAAACAACACGAAGAAGTGACACGTGTCATTCTTGGTGTCTGTTTTAGTATTATGTTATTGATTGATTGATTGGTTTGGTGGATGAAAGCCCTAAAAGGTGAAACCATCGCGAATTCGCTAGTGCTAGGTTAATGATTGATTACTTAAGTAGCCTTACATAACAATTAGCAATAGTAAATCAAGGGCTAGCTAACGTAGGTGGTACAGGCCTAGGTGGCATCATGGCGGTATTTTTGATTTGAGATTAAATCTTATCTATAACCAACTCTTCCCGAAAAAAAGCTTTAGAACTAGAAAAAGATATAAATAAACTAATAAAGTGCTATAAGTGTATAAATAACTAAAAATTGTGAGAAAGTCAATGTAGTATTGTGGTGCAACTATTTTATAGAGGAGAAAAAAATATCCTTTTGAGTATGGACTGATGGAGTATTACATTTGTTGTAATTGATGCGAAAGAATTGTTGCGATGAACAAAACAAAACAAAACACTTATAGATTTACGTGGTTCACTAACAATGCATTAGTTATGTTCATATGTGATGAGAAGAAGTTATATCAATCTTATGAATATTACTCATATATAATGAGTTAGATCAATAACCTAACCTAAACATTGTATCCTACATGCTAAACAAAACGAAACAGACCTTCTCATCCCGCGTTGATTTTTTTGGAGGGGCTAATAATTTAAGACATATTCTAACTGACTCGTGGTTGGGACTTACACAATTACACCTACTCATCCAAGCCACGTTTTGGATTTACGTTTCCCCAACCTTAATACCATTATACCACCATGCCCTAAATCAATGTCAACAATTTTGACCAAAGAAGCAACAAATTAAAGCATGATTAAACATATACGAAAAAAAATCAAATAAATTAAAGGACTACCAACTTAATACGAGGTTTCAATAAACCCAAAAGTAAAGCAATTAATCAATTTACATATACTTTCTGTTTCGGTTGAAAACAAATGGGACCTTGCCGAAGGTCCACTGAAATGGAGAAGACTGGATTCGATCCAAGCTGTGTTGGGCCGAAGGTTTCCTGCACAGTGAACACACGTAAACTAGCCTCGGGGGTGTTTCCGAGGAAGGCCCCTCCGATGCTAGAGTCAGTACAATGTGTAAAAAGGAAGACACTATGCAAGAGAGTTTGTAGCTTGAGGCTTTTGTGGAGTATTTCTCAATGCAAGAATGAGCATATGAAATTGGAATAATCGGTGTATGAGATAATGTATGTGATGATGTATGTGTCTCCCTTGAATGTGTAATATGAGGGCTTTTATACCTCATCATACTTGGAGAGGTTGGGCTTTAGCCCAATTGGCTTACTTTGTGGGCTGACTTTTGACTTTTGAGCAATTGGAGAGTTGAACCTTGACCTTGGGCTTTTAATTGGATCATTTAGTGCTCAGGCCCAATTTTGACTAAATTGGACCCAAACAACTTGCCCCCCAGACCCGATTTGGAAGAATGACGGGTCGGGTTTGATTTAACTCAGAAAAGGAGGGAAGTAAATGATTTAATTGATCCAAAAATTTGAATTTAAACCGTAATTAATGAGATAATAACGGTTAATGATTTGCGGAAGTTGGACGGATAATGGGCGGTTTAATCACAAGACATGTGTTTAATGGTTACTTAGTGGGTACTTAAGAGAAATTAAAGCACAGACTCTTCGTATCCCGTACCTGGAGATATAAA